AAAAAATAGAGAAGAAGAAAAAGAGAAAAAAAATGCCATGATTTGAAAAAGCTGAGGGAGGGAGCAGCTGGTGATGGAGAGGTGCAGGAAAGGACCTACCTTTAGGGAAAACAGGGCCACATGTGAGAAGGAAAGAAAAAATTATAGAAAATTGATATTGGTCTTTTCTTGGCTAGAATAGAAATCTTCTGGTAAAGAGAGTGGCAAAAGTAAATGGAGAAATTTCTGTAACTTTTTTCTGTTCAGCCAGCAAGCCACATGTTGTTTGTGAATTAATAGTCCAAGATCAAGAAACTCACTAAAAGCACAACAATGAGACAGACTGCTTGCTGATTGGGAGTTTGAAAGAAGGAGATGTGAGGAAATAATTGAAATTAATTAATCTAACAATTGAAATTGACCTGGTGTAAATGATCCAGCATTAGTAGTTTTGCATTTCACTGTAACTTAAGTTCTGGCACTGCTCATGGTTTACTCTGCTTGGAGTTTGATTTGTCCATTTACCTCCCACTGTAGTCATCTGTGTCCAAACAAAATTGTGAAATTGTGCATCCAGGTTTCAACTGTATTATCAAACCATTGTTTTAAGTATTCTGGCTGTGATGGGAATCTGAAATGCAGAATTTGCAGTGTCACTGAACCCATCTCTTCTTTATGTGATGCCCAGGACTGATTTAGAAATGAGACAATAATTGGAAAATTAGATTCATGAAATGTACCAATGCAACGTCCCAATATCCGCTCATGTGATTGAAATCTGGTGGTTATTCAAAACAAGTTGTTTTCATTGCACACAGTCTGTTACCAGCTCCATATGCTCTACCTGGAATTTGGAGGTTGGGTCGGGGTCTTTGTGCCTTGACCTTACCATAAGCTAGAGAGACTCTGCAATATGAGCATAAAAGATGGGAGAAGAGTCATTGAATCAGTGATAAAAGTGGAAAAGTCCTCGCTTTTCCAGACTCAATCACAGGGGCCAGTGCAGAAGTGACCCATCAGAAAATGGTAGATTGATGTGTAAGAAAAGCAGAATTAACCTTGTTCCCTCTTCTTCTTCCGCTGTATCTCATGGATGTGCTGGGTTTGCAAGTTTAGCAAACTAGAATGTGTTTGTGTCAAGGAGACGAACAGACATGACTGAGGACACATGGGTGCAATGATGGGGAGGAAGAAGTTTCTGGTTTTAGCCACTTTTCTGATTAAATTCACTTTAAGCAGAGATCAAGTCAGCTGTCCTGCAAAAAGGTTCAGAGGCGGTTAGGTAAGATCCCTTTGCAGATCTGCAGCTGCCACCCTTCTGCCTCGGCTCTTCCAGTGAAAGGGAAAGCTTTCTGCTTTGGAGGCTATTTGTAAAGGTGGGTGCAGTGTCCCAGACTTGTTCTTGTTAACTTACCCTCCTGCTGCTGTCACTGAACTGAAGTCACAGGCCATTTCCAACCAGCTGCAGGTTGGGTGCTTTCTGGTGTGATTAGTGGGCTATTCACAACGAGAGTTTGAAACACTTCCTCCATGTGTTAAATCTTGATGGACAAGAAGGAAGGTGGAAAATCTACCCAACTTTCTGTCTGTGTCATGCAGCAACATAGTAATCCCAAAACAAGGACTAAAAGATGTTTCATTTTAAACTGGAATTATTTCGGTGTTGTGTGCTCACATCCTTCCTGCAGATACAGCACGGCTTTGAATGAGTTCCCATCATGCTGTCAAGTCTGCTTATTTACCTGTCAGGTCTTCCCGTGGCTCCTGCAAAGGTTCTTTTTTTGAATTGTCTTGTTGGCTTGTTTTTATAAGTTAATGGTACAAGGGGAGAAAAAAAACCAAACGAGTGGTACTTAGGGGAAGGCAGTTTGCATACACCTTGTCTACAGGGCTGACTGCAACACAGCCGAGACAGATTAGCACACCACTGCCTGCCTAAAACAAATAAACACCAGCTGTTTATCAGACAGGGCTCAGCTTTCTCCAGGAGGAGGTAAACAGATTTATGCAGATGAACCTCTGAGGTGCCCTTGCAGCAGAGCATCCTTCATGGCTACTCTGCCTTCCTTATGAGTTACAGCCAGGACAGATGAGCACAGAGGTGCAGGGTTAGCACAATAACACAGCCATCTGCACTGTGCCGGGGTGGTTTGTCACTGCTTTATGGCCAAAGCCCATCTTTAATAGTAATTTAGAATTAATCATAGTGCTGATCTCTCTGTGAATGGAAGAATTTGGTGTAAAATTCACTATTTTAGTCCTATAGCATGTGAAAAAGCAATTTATTATAACTCACTTATTATTCCATTTGTGTCTAAAATACTGTGAAGCAAAATTTATGGCCAATTGAGGTTGAGAGAAATTGTGATCAGCAAAAGTACTTTTCTGATTCTGCATTAAGATTGTCCAGTTGCTGTCAAACTACTTAACTTCATGACCCTTTTATTTTTATAACCACCCAAGTTTATTTTAAATCCAGCAGTGCTACAGTATTGCTCCTCTCTCAGTTCAACTCTGCCTGCTGCAATAGCACCTTTAATTCTTCATATAAATTTTCCCTGAAGCTTCTCAGGTAACTTTAACAACTTGCTGCAAAATCTGGTCTTGAACACAGATGGGATATTATTTTAATAATGTAGACAAATTACACAGTTTGTATGCCAGCTCTCAGAAATGTCTGATCATTTATTAAGATGTTGTTGGGAGGAAAAATTGGAAGCTGAACATTTTGGGCAAGACTCTGGAGAGTTCAGAAAGAGAAGTTTGCTTCAGTTCTCATGGTGTCGCTCACAAGAAGTATAAACATTCTCAAATAGTATTGCTGGTTATTCTGAGACAGTTTCCTTTTTAACTTTATCTCACATCAAACGGGGTAATCGGATTGCAATTGCTACATTTCTGAGTTTTTTAAAGTGTCCTTGGGCTCCTCTTAGTACCAGATCATTCCCCTGCAGCTTTCTTGACTGCTGCTATTCAGGAGACCAACAATGCAAATATGTGGTTTGTCAATACAGTAAGTCCAAGGTACTGTAGTGATGAGTGTTATAGAAATGCTTGCCAAGAGAAAGAGGAAAAAATCCTTTCTCTCTATAAAGTAAATTGGTACCATTTGAGCTTTTCTTAGATTAGGACTTTCCTCACCCAAGTGCATCACTTAACATTTCAACACATAATGTCTCAGATTTCTCAAGGTACTCCTTAAACACTCAGCTAAACCAGGTGGAGAAGGCAAAGTCCACATGTGATTTGTTCTCCCTGACTGTCACTGCAGGTTTAATACCAGAATAATTTTAGATGTGCCTACCACCCTGTGCCTTAATGTTACAAATGTTATTAATATTGGTAAGTAACACTTTTCAGTCTGCGGAACAATTAACAAAAAGGTCAATGAGAATTCCCCAGAGAGGCATCTTTCATTACAAGGCCCATTGCTTATGCAATCTCACGGCATCCATCTTCCCAAACAAGCCAAAGGCCCAGAGATGGCAGCTCCTTAAACCTGCCTCTGAGCTCCTAATTAAAAAGCTTAATTGTACAAAATCCATTAGGATGCTTGTCTTCTAATCCCTTGGAGTTTTGATGCATTGTGTTACCTATGTTGTTGTAGGGCACATGCCCCCCTGGGTCGATACAGGTACCTGTTCGGACACGTGGGTGGCAGGAGCTGGTGGCAGATTGTGATCTCTGTTAGTGACATGTCCCTGCAGCCAGTTTGAAACCTGGAGTTTGTCACCTCCACCTTCTGGATCTGCAGTGTCCCATGGAAAATGCACCTGAGCCAAGGGGTGTGTACCTGTGCCAGATGGAAGAGATGGAAAAGACTCAAAAGTGGTCCAGTTTGTGAGCAAACATATTCAGAGTTATGGACGCTTCAGGGTAGGAGTGGAAAGAGGGCACTGACCCACTTAATGCCTCTGCTTGGGGAGACCTGTCATGCATCAGCTTTTGCTCACCAGGCAATGGAGAAAAGTGTACAGCTCTCCACTGCCCTGCCATGACCTTCAGGCTGAAGCTGGGGGTGGTCTGTGGTGCCAGAGTTCTCAAGGGAGGCAGTAAGCCTCACTGAAGGACAGTTTAGAGAGATGAAGTTTTGGGTACTGTGCCTCCAGAAAATGCTATGGTGGCTGTGCATCTGTAGCTGCTTCTACAGCTTATTATGGGCATTAGAAAGCCTCTTTGTATTGCTGAGGAGCTGCAGGGGTGCTGTGGTATCAGAAAAGTGCTTGGAGGTTTGGTAGCAAGTAGCTGTGCCCTAGTATTGTTCCCAGAAGAGAATATGGAAACTCACAACTTCTCCCAGCAACCAGTGGCATTTAATCATGCCAAAGCATTAGTGGATATCCCACAGTCACTTACCCACCCTTGTAGGTGCCTGATCCCTGGGTAGACCCAGCCCTTAGGAATGACCTGTTAGCCGAGCAGACCAATTTTCTTTGGCCTCTGTACCTTTGGTAAATTAATAGCTACTGCTCTTCTGATTCTTCCTGAAACCTGGGTTGCTATTCTCTGTCAGTCCTTGCCATCCTAAATGTCAGTGGAAAGGATCATTGAAACTAATGGATTCGGTTTGTCTGTTGTGCCAGTGACTGTATCCTGGGATGACCTTTCTGAGGTAACAGTCGAGTAGAAGGCTGCAGGGTCAGGGTCCTGCTGCAGGACAGTACTCGGAGCTTTCAGCCGGCTCCTGCTCATGCCCTAACGTGCATAGGGGTCAGTGGTCCTCCTCCTCATGGGAATGATTTGACTTGCCAAGGTTGAACCCCAAAAATCTGCTGCGTTTGAATTTAAACTAATCCCATTTGAAATGCAAAACTCAACAGGATCTTCTAATCTTGCCTGGCCTGGCATCAGAAGTATGTGACCTTTGCTACGCCTCACAGGAGAAGGATTATTTCCAGGATCATTCCAAAGAGATTCAGGTCTTTATAGCACAACTTGCCCCAAAGGTTCCTCTCCCTGTGGAGAAGCTTGCCACGAGCTTGTCATGAGAACATGATAAACTTCAAGTACTTTCCTCACAGATGTTTTTCGTGAGACTAGCTCCATCCCAGAGATGGCTGCGTTCTGTGGGTGGGTAAAAAGATCCCTGTAGATGTTTTTGCAAAGCAATTTCAGATCCCTTGCAGCTTGCAAGAAAATTGAATTAGTTGTTTTCCATTCCCTGAATTAACCCTGATTCATTCTTCCCTCAACCCTCTCCCTCTTCCTCCCCTCCCTCCAACAGATGTCCAGCATATTAAGAGGAGAGACATCGTTTTGAAGAGGGAGCTGGGAGAAGGTGCCTTTGGGAAGGTGTTTTTGGCCGAGTGTTACAACCTCAGCCCCACCAACGACAAAATGCTGGTGGCAGTGAAGGTAAATCCCAAGGGTGAATGGCAGGGGCTGGCTGGCAAAGCGAGACTGGATGAGCCTGCATGGGAAAGGGAAGCAGGGGAGGGCTGGGGGCCATGGGTGGAGATTTATTTGATGCTGGAGATTGTGGTAAATCCACTTAGTCACACAAAGTTTCAGTGTTTCGCTTCAAGGTTGTCTGTCCTCACGAATGCCAAAACCTCCCTTCCTGCTGGCGCAGCCAGGAGACAGACAGGGAGGAGAAGCTGGTCTGGAAGCCGTGAGCTCCCGTGCAGCTGAAGCAGCCCAGTGTGGATCCACCTCCCTCTGTGAGACGCTGGGGCCCTGCTCCTTCTGGATTTTATATTTTTGTGTAACATGCAGAAGCTGAAACAAAAAAAGGACTCAGCAAAAATAAGTACTTAAAAGCTAAGCACGATGAACCAATTTTCTGGGATCAATTTGCCGCAAGATGGGCGAAGCAGCTCGGCTCAGCTCCACTCAGCTCCTGCTTGCCTAGCCACAGGTCGCTCCTGTTTTTCTTATTTTGAGCCAACACAGGTTCAGCCTGGCTTGTGCTGTGGTGCTTGCATCCTTGTGATAGTCCCTGTGTGAGCTGTGTCCCATCAGTGTGGCTCTGGGCAGGGGAGACTACTCAGTGCAGAACTGCGCTCTCCTCTCAAGTGGCACCAGTTGGCAGACACATACAGTCTAATCCCTTGGATTTAACCAATGCCTCCTAACTCCTTGGAACAAGTTCTGCATTAGAACCGATGCTCTACAGGGGGGAAGGTTCCAGCACTCTCTCCAGCATGCTGGAGGCAACCAGTTACTTGAGAGTAACTAATCATTGGCAGCTCAAGCCTTTTTTTATTTGTAAGCTCGTGTGTCCCCTTTTGCTCCAGCAGTGAAGTGCAAGTCTGAACCTTTCACCTCTGGGACTGGTTAAAGCTGAGGCAGCGAAGACACCCATATGATTAATTGCTTGATTACAGGGCTGGTACCTGCCTATCAGTGTCAGCCATCCCTTAGCAAGCCTGGCTCTTGAGTCTCTTCTGAGTTTCATTTGCATGTAGGCAGAAACAGCATCTGAACTTGTTTCTGTTAATTGCTACTATGAGCTTACATCTCCAAAATGCCTTTCATCCTGCAAGATCATACAGTTCCAGCTGTATGGAGCAGGGCCTTGGAATCTGGCTTCTTGCCAGCTCTGGGAGTGGCAGGGAAAAAAAAATCCCTCTAATTTGGGTCACATTATAAGTCTGAGGTAAAATAAAAAAAAAAAAAAAAAAAAGAAAGGTTTTACATATTAAGTTGAGATTTGACTGCATTTCCTGAAGATCCCATGCTCCTGATAGAGGCTGAGAACTACCTCCCCAGTCACTGCAGCTCAGGGCAGCAGCAGGATATGCTGGTTAAGGGCAGCTGAGTCCACAACCCAGAGCTTACCTCTGCCCTGCTCTCAGGGACTCTCTCCCAGGGCCAAATAAAGTGACTGTGTTACTCACTCAGTTAAATGGACTCAGATTTTCAGCAAATCTAGAGGTCGCAGCCCTACAGATAAGCTGAGTTTTGATGTGATGACATGGACAAGCTCCCTGTTTTATTCAGCTTGCGTCTAAAAGCATGCTAAGAAATGCACAAAAACTATATCCAGCAAAGAGTGTTGAGGTGACAAAGTCAAGTACTAGAAATGCTGGAGGGGCTGTATTCAGGGCATGTCCTTCAAACATGTATTTTTCATTTCTCTGTGAGCTGCTCCGTTGTGGTGATCACTCCTGTGCAGAGAACTCCCTAGATGTGAGTGTGCCTGTTTTCACAGCTTCCCAGCAAGTTGCTGGGGTTGTATCATCACTGTTTTGCAAGGGATGAAGGGCGGATGGAGAAGCAGGAAAACCGAGCTGAAGGGATCCACTTAGGTGGAAAATGGAGTTACTGACCTCCCTTTCCAGCCCCTGGACAGCAGGTACCAGACTCAGAGTGAGCCCTGCTACAGCAATAAACATACAGTGCTTGTGGAGACCTGGCCATGATGCCACATAAGAGGGGATTTTCCAGGTAATATTGAAACAACTGTCGCTTCGTGACAACAGATGCAACCTTGCAGATGCTCAGGGACTTGCCAGAAATTATGGAAGAATCGTGTGATGGAGGCACAAAAAAATCCACCCCAAATCTTCCCGAGAGAGTCATTCCAGTGATTTTACTGAGACATCCCTTCACTTTCTCTGGTTCTGGTCTTCTTTCCCTGTTCTATCCCTGTTTTCCTCATTTCTAAATGTTCGACTGTGTAACTTCAGTAATGTGTGTGGGGGTTAATAACTTTTTTTTGATGTGTCATATTTACAAACTTACAGTCCTAACACCTTCTAGAAATGATTGTGTGTGAAGGGGAGGAAACTTAAGCTCACTGCAGCTTGAAATACTATGTGCAACCACAGGAAAAAGGGGTAGAAAAGAGTGATGGGGGAAGGGACTATTTCCCTGCAGAAGAATAGGGTAGCATCAACATTATGAAGATATTAAATGACTAAAAGTAATTGGGTGCCTGAGATAAGGATGGATGCTTTGCCATCTGCACCGTGTAACTAACATTCATCTAAATATCTCTAGTCAAGCTATCCCAAAGGACAAAGAATTAAAATATATTTACGCCATGTGTCTAGTAGTTTGGGGGCAGAAGAAGAAGATGAGGTAGTGTTCTAAGGTTTGGGGAAAAACCTTCCAGCAGATCTGCTCCAAGGGGAAAAGCACCTGCTCTGAAGGACTCATTATATCCAGTAGTACCATGGGCCAGCCAAGGTGCAGTAACAGTGTGCTGGGTCCTGTCCTCCAAGCACAGTTTTCTGATGCTTAACATCTCTTTTTAAGCATAAATTGCAGCCTGCACCTGCTCATGCCACTTCTCCCATCTGTATGGGGAGATTGAAGGCATGGGGAAAAGGGAGAAGGTATATTTGTGCGTAGGCAAGGGGAGAGCTACCTCATGTCCCTCACCGCTGAGAGGGAACTGGTGCACATCAGAGTGACTCAGGACAACTAGAACAAGTTTCCTTGAGTCTTTTACAGCTCCTGTTAGGCTGCACACTTAAAGCCAGAATTGGTTTTAAACAGTCCTGGCATGTGGAGGATGGGAGGATGTAACTGAGACACAGCAACTCAAAACCAGATTTGCCTCTTCATTTCCTTAAATGTTTGCAAAGACCGTGCTGATTCTCATGGCCATTCCATCTTGTCAAATGGTCTGGACTTCAACTTTTTTATCAAGTTCCCTCCCTTGGTACCCTGACATAACAACAAGCTGCTTTCAAGCTAACTCACCAATGCAGCTGCACAATAATGCATGGACAAACCAGACTCCAACCCTGGGAATTCCTCCCTGATTACCGGCTGCGCCCGCAGCAACATCTTCATGGCAACTCTGCAATGTCAGGCTCGTCCTCACCACCTGGAGCCTGCAAGCTGCCCTGCAATGGCAAAGTGGCATGCTCAAATTGTGGAAGATGAGATATTCTCAATAAGGATACCAATTTCAGCATCAGTCTTCTGGGGAGCTTCTATAAACAGCAGAGAATAAAAACATGATTTTAAAAATTATGAGAAAAAACTTGACAATGTCCTTCTTCAGAGGCAGTTTGAAAAATCCACACAATAACTGCGCGGCCAGGCAAATCCATCTTCTGAATAAAGGCAGTGTAGTCAGCTATTTCAAAATAAAAGACAGATAGCAAGGACTGGCTGGCTCAGAAATTTAATAATAATGAGATATGAAGCCATTCACCCCTAGGTCACCAGTACAAATTCTGCCCAAGCTGGGAATAATTGGAAGCTATTACCCTCTGAGGCATGTTTGCTGCTGCCTAAGAAATGAGCTGGGGAACCCACTGGGCCAGTAACTACATGAACAAAACATTTAGGTGGTGCCACCAGGCCTCCCAGAGCAATGGGGCCGGTGGCAGTGGTTCTGCTCCCCTCCCTTCCTCACCAGCTCCTCTGTGATGCTGTGACCCATTTGTTCTGCTTTTCCCTCGCCCGAGCCCACCCTGTGCGTGTCTGTGTCCCTCGTTTCAGGCACTGAAAGACCCCACGTTGGCAGCCCGCAAGGATTTCCAGCGGGAGGCAGAGCTGCTCACCAACCTGCAGCATGAGCACATCGTCAAGTTCTACGGCGTGTGTGGGGATGGAGACCCGCTCATCATGGTCTTTGAGTACATGAAGCACGGCGACCTGAACAAGTTCCTGAGGTAAGTGTGAAGGAGGGCATGGGAACTGCTGCACAGCCACCCAGGGGGAGTTCTGGCTCAGTGCTGCACCAGTGATGTAATTCAGTGAGCTGAGGAAGAAGAGATGGTTGTTCCAAGGACAGCTTGTAGGAGATGATAGTCCTCACCAGATCTGGTGCTTTATTAGCCCTGTCCCAACATTTCCTCTTGGGTATTCTCAATAGTGGTCTCTGTGAGCTGTGGAAACCAGGGGTGTCTTCTCCCACCTCAGCAAGTTTGAAGCTGCAGGAGGTGTGTCTGCAATCCTCTGCCCTTTGGGGGTAGAAGGACATGATACCACAACTGTCAGCAGCTCCAAGTCCTTTACACCCAGCAAAACCATGTCTTGCTGAAGCACGAAGGCCACTTGCCATCACTCCCTCAGTCACCCAGTTCCTGCTTCAACAACACAAGAACCAAAATATTCCTTTCAGAAACTTGCTGGAGTCCTTGATCTGATTGGTATCCTGGGCATTTACATATCTCTAGTTCTCATTCCTGTATTCCTAAAAGACCTGAGAAATGTTGGAGGAGCCTCAGGCAGTGACTGTGGAGTCCATCCCTGATCCCTGGTCCCCATGCCTCATCAGACAGAGATTCCTTAACCCGTAGCACCACACTACTCAAGAAGCCTGGCAAGGCCTGAAAAAGTGCCGTAATTTCCTTCCCTGTCTCTAGAGAGATGTAACTTGCTGGAGCCTTCCCTGCCCCCCCATCATTCAACCATTTTATCAACCTGAGGCAGATCATTTGTGTGCCCTGCATCCACCAGCAGCAAGGGGCAGGGAGCAGCTGTGGGAGGATGTTTATGGTGCTCTTCTCCCACGAAACAGAAATTCCGCTCTGAAACCTGCATGCAAGTGGAGTGGTACTTACCTCTTGAAATAATTAGGAGTTTTATTTCCAATATTTAGAAAATTGGACCCTTGATATTTTCCTGTTTTGACTGCAAAGTGTGAATATGATTGCAGGAGGAACAAGAAGCTTGTGCGCTGCAGGTCTAGGTCTGGGGTTGGGATACACTCACTGAGTATTTTTCTGCCATTACAGTCAGTTTCTGACCAGGAGACACAGGTTTTCCCCTGAGGTTTTCACTTCCAAGCAATCACCTACACCAGAAGAGATATGAAGAAGGATCCTAGAGGTTTCTTCTTTTGTTTGTCAGGTAGTGATAACCTATCTGCAGCTCCACTGGGGCATTCGCTTGGCAGTGGATGAGCTGAGAACATTCCTGCATTGGTTTTCCTCCTCATTTTCCTCATCTGTGGGTAGAACAAATATGATTTTATAGCTCAGTCCCTGTCTCAGGCTCTGGATAGATAGATGACATCCTTGGCAAGGTAGGACAAGTGAAGGCTGCTGCTATATTGGCTTTACAGAGCTCCTCAGACCCATGTTCAAGGGGGAGCAGCCTTGATTACCCTGGGACCCTCTCTTGTGGTACCTGCAAGGGCTCAACAACCTTCCAGCAGCAGCAGATTGAAGCCTACCTACTGGCATGAAACCATGACTTGAACTGAAAGGTTATTTTAGCACAGATTGGTGATGCAGTGTTAAGGACAGTGCCTCAGCCTTGTGACTGGAGGAAGGCAGTCTGAAAAAGAGCATGAGACATGGTGTTCTTAAAGTGCCTCACAAAGAAGAGTGGAAAATTGACCCATCATTTTTCCTGGCAGAACCAACAGCCTTAATTCACTTAGAGGAGGGAGATGCTACAGCTGAGGCACAACCTCTCGCTGCTCTAGCTGACCTTCCGAACAGTGTAGTCCAAAACAGGCTCTCCCACTGTCTCAGAAAGATGTCTTGTGCCCACTGCCAAAGCCTCATGGAATTGCTTCACACAATAGTGTGTCCCTAAGGCTGATATCATGCTGGAACCATGGACATCCTCATCCCTGTCCCAACCCTTCCTTGGGATGTGTCTGAGAGACACTCATGCCTGATGAAATTCATCTCCAGTTTCACTGGAGAAGAAAGCTTGTTGTATTATCTTTGGCCTTTATGAAGGAAAAGAAACTTTCCAGATGTGTGGTCCCTGGGATTGCAGCTCCTCATCTTCCAGCTGCATTTAGCTGCCAGATTCTCCTTCCTGTGCAGCCTTGGAGAAAACAGTTCCATGCTCTCTTCTCTGCATGTTGGTGTGTGGTGGGCAGTGAAACCCCTCTGCGTCCCAAAGGAAGCTGGCTTTGGGAGCAAGGGAGCTTATACCCAGCAAACAGAAACTCAAAATGCCTAAGGAGACATATGGAAAGAGAGTTGTGGGTTTGTTTGTCAGGTCAGGTATCTGCTGGTGGGAGACCGTGGAATGGGGACTGCAAGGGGGTAAGAAAGGGTTGATGATGCAGAGCTGCCTAGCATCCCTCAGCAAGCAGCAGTTTTTATAGTGTGATGATTCACCCAGCCCGCAGCAGGAGACAGTGACTCCCAGACACTAGAGGCTGGGGATGCTGGGAGTCTGTAACAGGCACTCAGATGGACTTTTCCCAGTTTAACTGCAGAAATCGAAAAAGCAGTAAAATGGAAGAGGCTCACTTTAGACTCAGTTTCCTAGAGAAAAGCACAATAAATAAATTCCCCTAAGTGTTTTTAGAGCTTTGTGTGCTTCCTAGAGAACAGAGAGTTTTACTGGTCTGTAATATTGACTGGTGTGGAAAAGGAAGGCACTATGATCAACACCTACCTGCTGAGTTAGTGGTGGCATGCACTGGGATGGTTCTGCACACCTCCCAGGGCCCCTGTGTGTAAGACTATTACTGGGGGTGCAAAAACAAACCCTGCTGTCTGCACCAGGGGAGACTGCAATTGTGGTGTCCTACCTCATAGAAAATATCAATAGACATGATCTTGACATGGAGAAATACAGGCATTCCTCTCCAGGGAGCACCACATCCCTAGGGATGGTGTGCACAGGGGCTGGAGTCTGCCAGGGTGGGTGGGTGGCAAGGCTGGGTGTTCCCAGCACACACACCCACTGCTCAGGGGTCTGCAGTGACCACATCCCTCTCTGCTCACCAGGGGTGTCCATCACTTTCCCCCTTCACCTTTGTCACTGGTTTTCTAGCTTTTGTTTTCTGTCTGGGACAGAAGGAATTTTGAACTAGGGATAATTGCACATTGCCATTACAGACCCTCTCTGCAGTCTGTAGTAAGTCATTGCCACTCGTACGGGCAATAGGTTTTGTTAGAAAAGTTGCAAAGTTCTGGTGTTTTTGTGTCAGCCCTTCTGGTGAAGCAGCCCCACAGTCAGACTGTCTTGGGACAGAAGAGGAATTTCAGAAGAGGAAGTTAGAAGGGTGATTTTTTTTCCCCAAAGCCTCCACCACTCCATAATGGAAAAAACCTCCAGTAGTTCTTTAACAGGAAATCCACCCAATTTTATGGCCTCTCTCTAAAGCTGAATTAAACTCCTTTCCCCAGGAAAAGATGGACATACCCTCCTCATATTCCCTGTAGGCTTCTTGACACATCTAAATGTACTAATATCCTTCCTGTTTATATCATAAATGTGTTGATTCTTCTTTCCTTTGGATTATAACCATATGGGATAGAGAAAGGGAGGGAGGGACATGTACGTAGTAGAGAGGACATACTGAGATGTGTCCTGTATAGTAGGTTATACAAAGAGCCAGTGAATTAATGGTGTTCGCTGACCATTTTTTAACCACCACATGTCCCCCTCAGACACAGACACTTCTTTGGGGACCGTTATTGTATTTTAAAAAAGTGGTAGTAATGAGATAGTAATACATCCTTCACTTCTCACCTAGGAGTGTTTACCTTTGATGACAACAGGTATCAGCTGTAGCTAAATATGATGTAACTGCAAGGCATGACTGGCACAAACTGTCCAGAACAGTTTTAGAAGCTATTGTTTGTTCTGCTTTGCTGTTTTTAGCTAACCTGCTCAGTCCTGCTCAGCTTCACCTGCTGTCACCATTTGTTGTCACCACCAAGTAGTTTCCTGGGGTAAACACGTCTGTGGGCTATTTAAATAAGACATCAAACAGTCATTTCTGCATGCACTCTTCTGCAGCTCCTTCAGCAAGTCTTCCTGTGTGCTGCTGCTCCCACCATACCCACAGGACTCTGAGATGCCTCTGGCAGTCCCTGCTCTGCTGCTCACACTGCTGCTCCCAGACAACTCACCCCACATTCAGCAGCACCACCCACTCGTGGCTCCCAAAAAACACTCCTGGCTTCTCATCAGTTGTTTCTGCAGTTTCTCTCCTCTTCCAGCTGTCCTTTCTACCAGGAGAGGACCTTTAGAGCCATATTCCCAGTGGTAGGGGAGGTAGCTGAAGAGGGGGGCATTTGAAAAACTGATGCTTGAACCCCAAACATCTGGATGCTCATTTCTTTGGTGCACTCTCAAGCCCAACACAATTCAGGAACAGAGATAAAGGTGGGAAACAGTTTGGATCTTGTGGTGTGTTGTTCAGTCCCATGTCAAGGAGGAGGAAAAGCTCTGAATGTGCAGTTTCAATTTGCTGTCTCTCTGTGGGGTTACTGCTGATGACAGGGCTAAAATGCCAAGAATAATTTCAAAGAGAACAGTATGAAAGCCTCAGAGGAAATGCTGTACTGTGTTTTAGTCACAAGAAGGAAGGTCACAGCAACATTTCTTGCATTTCCCTAAATACAAGGGCTTTTGTTATTCTACCCTCACACAAGTTACCATAGGGTGAGCTCTATCGGGGAAGAGACATCACAGAGGGAGTATGGCACAGAAAGGCTGGGTACATAGTGAGGAAGGAGACAAAAAAAGGACAGAACAGGAATTAGACTGACCTAAAGTCCTGCATTTACAATGCACCTGGTTCAGCAAAATATTTCCTTTTGTTGCACAGGATGTTCTCTGCATCTGCTGACAGCCAGGGCTAAACTTTGCACCTGTGCTCATGCTGTCACAGTTCACAGTACCTGTGTTACCTTTGGGATAGTTTAGGGTATAAAAGGGATTTTCCAGGGATGAAGCTGCTGGTGTTCCTTTGAAACATTTTGTGTGATCTCTGGATGTATGAATATCAATCAGGGGGTGGTTGGTTGGTGATATGAAGGAAAGAAAAGGAGGCTGTTTGGGATTGTTTAAGATATTAGGTAGCAAGAATATGACAGATGTGCAAGAAAAGTGGGTGATATCTCTGCCTCTGGGAACTTATCAAAGGTGTAAGAATTAACATGTAAATATCCTGAGGCTCATTAGTTCTGCACAGGTCTTACCAGAGAAGAGTGTCCACGTTGCATCAAGCCAGTGGTCCCACTGTTTTGGCATTCTGTCTCCATCTGTGGCCACAAGAGGTTGTGTGCAGTAGACTAAGGATAGGACAAGGATGTAGGGCACCCACTCACCCACCAAATGTTCCCACAAGTTCCTGTTCTCTTAAACTTTCATTCTTCCTTTCCACTGGAGCTGTGTGTACATCCTCACAGTGCAGAGCTGGGATCTAGTCCCCACTCCAGCAGGAACAGCGACCGTGTGGGATTCCCATCTCCTGGTCACTTCTGAGACGCAACTCTATGCTTTTTGCTTCTTCCTCCCTTTAGGGCACATGGCCCAGATGCTATGATCCTCGTGGATGGGCAGCCTCGACAAGCCAAAGGGGAGCTAGGGCTATCCCAGATGCTCCACATCGCTAGCCAGATCGCCTCTGGAATGGTGTACCTTGCCTCCCAGCACTTTGTCCATAGAGACCTGGCCACCAGGAACTGCTTGGTCGGAGCCAACCTGCTGGTGAAGATTGGAGACTTTGGGATGTCAAGAGATGTCTACAGCACTGATTACTACAGGGTAAGGCAGCTCCAGCAGCAGTCTGATGCTCAGAGCAAAGGGAGACTAGGAAATGTTACAGTAAATCAGTTTTTGGAGCCCTAGGGCTCACTTGCTTCATTATTTCCTCATTGAAATATGTGCACAGATGTTGATCAGGCATCCCTAAGCACTGTCCTTACTCCTGTTCAGTCCTGGCCATGCTTGTAGTTCAGACATCCACGCAGATGCCTACACATAGACTCTTTGTGATACCCCAGCACACAGTCACATGCTTTGGGATGGCTCTGAAGTCATCCCATACTTACTGCCTATTTTTATTCCCTTTTTTTTGAAGACATTGATAAATTAAAGGTAATCCAAAGAGATGATAAAGACTACAGGCTGTGACCTCTGGTGTTAGATTAAAGAAACTTAATACAGGGACATAGAGGAAAAGCAACTGAAAGACTGACTGATAAGTGCATAAAATATGGAAGAGGAAATAATAGTCAATTTAGGTTCAACCTCAGAACACTTTTTTTCCCAGCAGGGTCATCATTTAGACAATGGAATAATTTGCCAAGGGTAGGTTGCTGAAAGCCTGTCATTAAAGAAATTCAGGAAGCAACTAGATAAAAATGCCTGGGTTTAGTGGAGAGGCTAATCCTGCACTTGTCTCTGGGGACAGACTCAATGAGCCAGGAATGCCTTTCCAGCCTCTTCTTGTGTGATCTGTGCTCGCACTGTCCCCTTGTCTTGCACACTCCCTTTGTACCTGTCTGTACTGTCCTGCCTGCCCAGGATGGCAGCCTTCCTGAGGGAACAGAGTGTTTCTTACCCTTCCCCAGCTACAGGTGATGATGTGATGTGTGAAATGTTTGAAACACACTGGAGTAGGTATTTGTCTCTGGACCATCCACCAACGGGGAAGGGCTTTTCAGGCTATGGAACCGTGGTTTCCAGCCTGATGCTTGGACTAAGGCTGGTTTATTTCTGCTTACAACATGGATCTTTGGCTTTGAGGATGATTTCTATCAGCTACCCGTGAAAGGGTTGACCTATGGTCTTGATCTGATTCAGAAAGTTTTCATTATGTGATAGACAGCTGCCAAGTGGAGTTACTGTGTTTGGGAGGAGGAGAAACGTGATCAGATTTGTGCTGAGACATATCACCTCTCCCAGGCCAGAACATCGGCTTACCACTAAGTTTAATTACCAGTGAGGGAAACAATCTTCACTGTGCAGCAGAAAAGCCTGCGCTGGGAAAAGGTGTCAGTGCAGTTACTGGGCAGTGATGAGGAAAGAGAGGTGCTGTGGTCCCACCACAGCTGAAACTTCAGGAAGGAGCGAGTAGGAAAGAGAAGAGCCCAGGGGAAGATGAGGAGCAGCACATGTGATTGCCCATGTTCTTGCCTGCCTTCTTCCCTTCAGCCCTGTTAGTCCTGCCCCAAACCACAGCCAGTGTCACACTTCTGGGGACAATCCCAGCTGAGCTGGTGTTCCTGCAGCACCGAGAGCTCTCTGTGCCGTGGGAGAATTTGCTGTTATTGACATGTGAAGGCTGGGAGGGCCCCCAAAAAGTGAGAACTGAGATGATTTCCACAGTTCGTCATTGTTGGATTTTTCGTCTTCTCTATGGTGGTGTCTTGTAGACCTCATCCTGTCTGTGCAAAGTGCTTTGCTGAGGACTGCTCCGTGATATCTCATGCAGTGTTGTAAGTCTTTTTAGTGGACTTTTCTCTATATAGACAAATTGCCACGTATGACTAAAGTAGTAACTAGTTATCACCTGTTTACCAGAACAAGAGCTGAGTTTCAGCGCAGCCCAGTCTTTTGTTCTTAACTGATTTTCCTTTCTTTGTTTTCACTTATTTTTAGTATTTTTAAAACTCTTGCTCACTATGTTCATTCATGGAGGCCTTTTCTCTCCTAAAGTCCAAAGAAGGGTCCTAGCAAAACGAGGTTCTGATTGCCCACAGTTACACTGGTGGCATGAGGGGCAGAGGGTTTATGTGACTGGCCGAAGGCCAAAGCAGGAGTCAGTGGCAGAGCTGGGAAGCCTACCCAGGCCAGAAAAGAGCAGAAGTGCAGAGGCCAAGTGTCCTTCATCCCTCCTCCAACCACAGTCCAACCACACTCCTCCCAGCAAATGAGCGAAGAAGCTCAAGTTGGAGAACTGACCTGCTCCTGGGTCTCACCTACGAAAGGTGGAGATGTGGCTGAAGATCTGAACTTTTAAAGACTTTGATGCTGCCCCTGGTCACATCTACAACCTTCCTGGTGAAGTTCCCAAGTCTGTTTCCTGGTGTTTGTGTATGGCATCTCTCTCCTTGTGCCCAGCCTGCCATTGCCACCAGTAGGACCTGGAGTAAAGTTCTGCTTCATATGGTTTCTAGAAAATATTGCTTGGTGTGTCCGAGATGCAGCCCGGGGAGAAACTGTAGTTTGTCATTTTCTGGAAACACAGGGAAAGATTCCACCTCCAGGCTGACACAAAGTGACAGGTCTGGAGCTCTCTGCAAGCAGACTCACTTCAGTCTACCCTGTCCCTGTGTTTGCTCCTGCCCAGGCCCCACATGCCTGGATAATTGGGCATGTGGATATATGATATCTTAAGTGGGATATATGAGCATGTTCCAGGCTGAGAATTTGTTCCTAGGCATTTTCTTTCTTTCCCATGTTTTAATCTTTTAAGACAAAGAAAGAACACCGTCTGGCTCCAGCATTTGTGGGATGCAAAAGTGCTTTAACAAAGGTGAGCCGCTTAATTTTCTGTTGCACATTTGGATACAGAAAACAAATATTTGAGTAACAAAAGCAGCAGAGAGGCTCGTTTCCCCTCTCTGCAAGGCTCTCCATGTTCTGCCTGAAGACAGATGCGTCCTTTTCCTCCTGCATCACAGAGGGATCCCGTCAGCTGTTTCCTTTAAACCTCCTTTCAACAAGACAGGATGGAGAGAAGATGGTTGTGGAGGTGGAAGTGGTGGGGAGAGGTGGATCAGCATCTGATTAGAAAGCGGAGAAAAGTGGAGGAACTGGGGAGACAGAGAGAAGTAGCCCAGCTTCTGTGTGAAGAGAAAAGGCGGGGATGCTGAAGAAGCGTTTCTGTGCTGTGTTGTGTAATGTGCTGTGCAATCTTTGGTGTGGGTCTCTGTGGGAAGGCAGGATGGAAAATATCCATACTGCAGAGAAAAGATTTGGGCGGATTTCGTTTTCCTTGTTGTTTTCTTTAAAAAACTGTGTGAGTAGGCGACTTTTTTTAGGTATGACTCAGGACTGTGACAGCAGGTGGTGGGACGCTGCAGGTCAGGGACACTGTGCCTCACCCAAGCTGAGTGTGGCATGGAGACTGCAGCAAGTCAGGCACACTGTGCCTGTCCGGTGCTGTCCAGGGAGCTGGGGGCTTTTGTTGTGTCTGGGGGAGGAGTGTCAGAGCTGGAGGCATCTTCAGGGCTGAGATTAGAATTCCCAGCTTCTCTTTCACCCTGCAGATAGGGGTTTGGTTGCTCCAAGAGCCCTTCTGTGGGTCTGAACCCACCCAAACTCCAGTAAAATACAAATAATTTTCATTTGTCCCCCAAAATGCATAATTCAATTCCAAAACAAAATCATGGTCACTGTCCAGGAAAGGGGCAGCATTTTTTCATCTTTAGAAGAGAACACAGTCTTAAATTGTAATCAAGACTCCTTAAGAACTCCCAAGGTAATGTCCTATCATGGGTAGGACATCATCAGTGAAGATGCATGTCAGATAGAGGAGGGATCTATGTAGGCATTAAACATCATTAAGACATTCCTCTGTCCATATTTCCTCTATTCTGCCCTTCTGGCATCCTGCCCCAAATCCTGGGGTGGGCTGGAAACCTCTTGGGGATTTAGTTCCCTCCTTTCCCAGACGTTTGTGCTGAGTGTTCTTGTGGTCACAGTTCATCACACAGAGGACACCTGCTTGTCAAAAAAAGACACATGAAGGACTTGCAAAGGGCTCTGAAAGTGTTTTTGTATTTCTACCAACACAGAGATAGATAAACATAATAACAAAAATGCTCCCTGTTTCTCTGTCTTCACTACTCTGGAACATTGTTTGGATTTGGGACAGACAAGGTTTTCAGGAAGAAGTAATATCTTTTAATAGAACACATGATATTGTTGGAAGGGGGAAAAAGAATGAATTTTAGGTACACAAAGCCTCTCTGAGTTCTTTTTTTTTATTATTATTTTCAGTTGTGTTGGTTGGTTTAATAAAAGATTAATATCTCTCCCTATGAACCTTGGTGCTCACACCCTTAGACCATCAGAACCAAAACATTTTTGCTATGACTTTGGCCTTAGGTCAGTGTTCTTTAAACAGTCTGGGATCCCTCCTCCTCTGAAGCATGAAGGTTTACTGTGTAAACATTTTCTTTCTTATCTTTCTTTAAAAAGGCCAGTAAAAACCCCATATTCTTGATAATTTTCAGTACCCATTGTAAGGTTGCTTTCTGATGACCATCTCCCATCTAGACCATCTCTCCAGTTGTTTTCCACTGGAGTTCAAGATTGCTTTCTTTCTCGTGGGTACAGCTAGTTATTTTTCCAGTGAAGTTTGCATGTGAGCAGTAGATCACTGATGTTTAGCAGCTACCTGGGTCATGCTCCTTTGGAGCCCATTAGTGCCCATGTGGATCCATCAGCTGTACAACACCCACTTTTGTGTCTCTGATGCTTTCTTTGTTGTTTTGCTGTCCGTCTCATGCAGAGTGTTTACAGCATGGGAGGTGGATCCTAGCAGAGGGAAACTGCTGCCCAGAATGGAGGGAAGCTGTTAGCATCAGAATGGAGCCCTGTGATGAGTGTACCATCACCTGCTAAGAGGAATGCCAACAGGCAGAGAGGAGCAAAACTCCCTCTAAATTTCTGTCTGGGATATGGTACTGCCTCACTCTGGGAGGAAAAAAAGCTGCCACTCTCGAGTTTTATGGCAGACCCGACGTCTGCCGGCAGTAAGTCAGCTCTGGACAGAGAGCTGTCCAAGCTCCCTGCATCCAGACAGTGTCCTC